ATATATGGATAATGTTATTATCAAATCCAAGAAGGCCACTGACCACATAGAAGATCTGAGGAAGTTTTTCAATAGGCTGCGGAGATACAACCTGAAACTAAACCCTGCAAAATGCGCATTTAGGGTTCATATTGGGAAATTACTTGAGTTTATTATGAGCCGCCGAGGAATAGAACTAGATCCATTGAAAGTCAAAGCCATTCAAGAACTACCACCGCCAAAGAACAAGAAAGACATGATGAGTTTCTTGGGAAGGCTTAACTATATCAGCCGATTCATAGCACAGTCTACAGTTATATGTGAGCCAATCTTTAAGATGTTGAAGAAGGACGCTACCACCAAATGTACCGAGGACTTCCAAAAGGCCTTCGACAAAATCAAGGAGTACATGTCAACACCACCAGTCTTAGTCCTGTCCAAGCCAGGTAGACCTTTATTACTCTACCTTGCAGTGTTAGATGGAGCTTTCGGCTGTGTTCTGGGCCAGCATGATGAAACAGGGAGGAAAGAAGAAGCCATTTATTATCTCAGTAAGAAGTTCACCCCGTACGAGGCCCGATATTCTCTATTGGAACGCACCTATTATGTTTTGACTTGGGTAGCCCAGAAGCTGAGACATTACTTCTGTGCCTATACTACATATCTTATATCGAGAATGGATCCCTTGAAGTACATCTTTCAGAAGCCCATGCCCACCGGCAAGTTAGCGAAGTAGCAAATCCTTTTGAGTGAGTTCGACATTGTTTACGTAACTCAGAAAGTGGTCAAGGGATAGGCACTAGCTGACCACCTTGCCGAAAAACCCCGTGGATGGAGGATACAAACCCATGAAAATGTATTTTCATGATGAAGAGGTATCATTCATAGTAGAAGACATTGCGGAATCCTATGATGGTTGGAGAATGTTCTTCGATGGAGCGACAAACTTCAAAGGAGTTGGCATAGGAGTAGTCCTAATATCAGAAACTGGTCAGCATTATCCAATGTCTTCCAAACTTAGGTTCCCCTGCACCAACAATATGGCCGAATATCAATCCTGCATCTTAGGACTCAAAATGGCCATTGACATGAATGTTCAAGAGCTGCTAGTGATTGGAGATTCAGACTTGCTTATACATCAGGTACGAGGAGAATGGACGACCAAGAACTCCAAGATACTCCCGTATCTGTATCATGTACAGGAATTGAGAAAGAAGTTTACGAAGACGGAATTCCAGCATGTTCCCAAAATCCAGAATGAGTTCACCGATGCATTAGCTACCTTATCATCTATGATACAACATCCAGACAAGAATTTCATTGATCCCATTCCAGTGAAAATCCATAATCAACCAGCTTACTGTGCCCATGTCGAAGAGGAAGTAGACGGAAAGCCTTGGTTTCATGATATCAAGGAATATTTGGAAAAAGGAGAGTACCCGGAGCTTTCTAATCCTACTTAGAAATGCACACTTCGGAGATTATCCAAAAACTTCTTTCACAGTAGAGGAATCCTGTATAGGAGGACTCCCGATTTAGGATTATTAAGATATGTCGACGCAAAGTAAGCATCCATGCTACTAGAGGAAATTCATGTTGGGACCTACGGTCCACATATGAACGGTTTTGTCTTAGCAAAGAAGATACTCTGGGATGGTTACTTTTGGATGACTATGGAAACGGACTACGTCCAGTATGTCTAGAAATGCCACCATTGTCAGATACATACAGAAATGATAAAGGTACCTCCAAGCGAGCTTAGCACAACAAGCTCACTATGATCGTTCGCCGCCTGGGGAATGGACGTTATTGGACCAATCAAGCCTGCTGCTTCCAACGGACACATGTTTATCCTGTTAGCCATCGACTATTTCACAAAATGGGTCGAAGCAGCATCTTATAAAGCAGTAACTAAGAAAGTCATGGCAGACTTTGTCCGCGATCGCATCGTTTGTCGATTCGGAATTCTAGAGTCAATCATTACTGATAATGGCTCCAACCTCAACAATGACTTGATGAAAGCTATGTGTAAAACTTGCAAGATCAGACACAAGAATTGCACAACCTACCGACCTCAGATGAATGGAGCTGTAGAAGCCGCCAACAAGAATATCAAGAAGATATTGAGGAAAATGATAGACAAGCATAAGTAGTGGCACGAGCAGTTATCATTTTCTCTATTAGGGTATTGCACCACAATCTGCACATCAACTGGGGCAACCCCCTATATGCTGGTTTACGGAACAGAGGCTGTCATTCCCGTTGAGGCAGAAATTTCTTCCCTAAGGATCATACAAGAAGCTGAGCTCGACGACGCCGAGTGGGTAAAAAGTCGTTATGAGCAACTAGCCCTTATAGACAGAAAGAGAATGAATGCAGTTTGTCATTGTCAACTCTATCAAAACAGAATGGCTAGAGCCTTCAACAAAAGAGTCAAGCCAAGACAGTTCACACCGGGACAGCTGGTGTTAAAGAAAATTTTTCCGCATCAAGATGAAGCCAAAGGGAAGTTCTCTCCCAACTGGAAGGGCCCATACATGGTTCACTGGATTTTGACAGGAGGAGCACTTATACTTGCAGAATTGGACGGAGAAGTCTAGCCAAAACCAATCAATTCAGATGTAGTCAAGCGTTACTACGTGTAAACTTTATGATTTCCTTATATAATGTAATTGAACTACGCCTGACCTGATTCCCGTTTAAGAGGGGATACGTAGGCAACCCTATGGGTTCGGTAACAATTCAATAAAAATTTCATTTCTCCCCGCAATTAGAAATTGGGGTAGAATTTTGAGGAGGACCCTCAAAATTCCGAAGTAATTTTAGCCGATCGCTGCATGAGCAACAGTCAGAAATGTCAACCCATCAAACTGGGGCAGAATTTTGAGGAGGACCCTCAAAATTCCGTAGCAAGATAGGTTGCATTGTCTCGAACATGTCACAGTCGTCAGTTCATCTAAAAGCTATTTTTAATTTATGTCATACTTTTACAAAATCATGGATGTTATTATTGAAACTGCTTTGTTTAGCAATGCTACCCCAATAATATAGACGGTATCACCAGATCAAAGCCGAACGAGTCAAGCAAAAGTCAGCGGGAATACGAACTAACCTCCCCCTTACAAAACTCACGATTTTTCTTTGGATGCAGGCATTAGGATCGCGAAATTATTAAACACACTGTATTCCCATGGGACAAACATTGGTCAAAATATGACTCCCAGAGCCGTTGCACTTGCCAACACTTGCTATCAGCACACCAGTGATGTTCTGTATGTCACAATGCTCCCAGTAATCACAACGCCACAATCTGTTATCAGCTAAGAAAACTCTACCATCATTTGTTATTTTATTTCTTGCAGAAGGCTACCATTCTGCTTTCCGAGACTAAACGATGTCTCCATCTGCATCTGCATTGCATAAGGCTACCATTCTGCCTTCTGAGACTAAATGCTGTCTCCATTTGCACTCTTGCATAAGGCTACCATTCTATCTTCCGATGTTAAGCTCTACCTCCATCTGCATTGCATAAGGCTACTATTTTGCCTTCCAATCTGTATAAGGCTATCATTCTGCCTTCCGAGACTTAATGCTGTGTCCATCTGCATTCTTGCATAAGGCTACCATTCTGCCTTCCGAGACTAAACGTTGTCTCCATCTGCATCTGCATTGCATAAGACTATCATTCTGCCTTTCGAGGTTAAACTTTACCTCCACCTACATCTGCATTGCATAATGCTACTATTCTGCCTTCTAATCTGCATAAGGCTACCATTCTGCCTTCCGAGACTAAACGTTGTCTCCATCTGCATCTGCATTGCATAAGGATACTATTTTGCCTTCCAATATACATATGGCTACCATTATGCCTTCTGAGGTTAAGCTCTACCTCCTCCTGCATCTGCATTACATAAGGCTACCATTCTACCTTCTGAGGTTAAGCTCTACCTCCGCCTGCATCTGCATTGCATAAGACTATCATTCTGCCTTTCGAGGTTAAACTTTACCTCCACCTACATCTGCATTGCATAATGCTACTATTCTGCCTTCTAATCTGCATAAGGCTACCATTCTGCATTTCGAGGTTAAGCTCTACCTCCATCTGCATTGCATAAGGCTACTATTCTGCCTTCCAATTTGCATAGGGCTACCATTCTGCCTTCCGAGGTTAAGCTCTACCTCCACCTACAACTGCATTGCATAAGGCTACCATTCTGCCTTCCGAGGTTAAGCTCTACCTCCGCCTGCATCTGCATTGCACAAGGCTACCATTCTGCCTTCTAAGGTTAAGCTCTACCTCCGCTGCATCTGCATTGCATAAGGCTATCATTCTGTCTTCCGAGGTTAAGCTCTACCTCCGCTGCATCTGCATTGCATAAGGCTATCATTCTGTCTTCCGAGGTTAAGCTCTACCTCCACCTACATCTGTATTGCATAATGCTACGATTCTGCCTTCCGAGGTTAAGCTCTACCTCCATCTGCATTTGCATTGCGTAAGGCTACTATTCTGCCTCCCAATCTGCATAAGGCTATTTTTCTGCCTTTCGAGGCTAAGCTCTGCCTCCAATTTCCTTCAAAACTAAGCGCTATCCCAAGCACTATTCATCTCGCTTCTCTTATGGGCTAAGCTCTTCCCTTCAATTTGCAAGACTAGGCTCTATCTTGTCCGTATCATACTACTGCATCCTTCATGGGATGAAATATTGCCAACTCATCCAAAGGCATCATCGTTCGGAGGCACCATCTTCATAGCCCGAGAACACCATGTCATGGCCTAAGGATCTCTTTCAATCTTTTGCATATCATTATTCAAAGGAGTCATGGTTCGGAGGCACCATCCTCATAGCCCGAGAACATCATTTCATGGCTTGCGAATCCTTTATCATACGTTTCATAGCCCAAAACATCATGGTCTAAGGACATCATTCTCATCGTCCGAAGAAAACTTTCATGGTCCGACGGGAATTTGCATCATGTTTAAATTTATGTACAGTATACACTTGTATTGCTTCTATTTGCAGGTAAGCCGGTGAGCAACAACTATCCCAGTAGGAGCGATCCCGCTCCAGTTCCTTCAGCCATATCAAACCTAACAATTCCCGTAAACCTTTCATTCACCCAGCCCTAGATATCACGTACGTTCTTGAAAGGTCTTCATCGGTATACTCCGCCGATGGATCCTGAACTACATACGGCCTGATTCCTGTAAAACCAGGGATATGTAGGCATCAAAAGCCAGGGTGCGGCCTAAATCCTCCCAAACTGTTTTGCTCGATCAAAATTGGCCATCATTTCTTTACCCGAAAACTCTTTCATCCTTTCCGGGTAAAGAGGGGCAGCTGTTGATACCCAATTTTTTCCTATATATTTTCAATATGCAAAATACCTTTAAAATAACATATATATGCATATATAAGCTTGACCAAAGGTTTAATTATATTCCATAATTTTAAAGGTTTAAATTGATTTATTTTCTCCCTTTTTTATCCATAAAATCCCTAATAATTATTTCCAAAATTATTATTTTGATAATTCATCTATTGTATTTCTATATTTATGCCAAAATATGGCTAAAATAATTTTTACATATTTTTATAATTACATTTGGTATTTTAAAGCTAAATTGCACATAATTGCAATATTAGCCCTTTTAAGATTTAATTATATTTTATACGCATAAAATTGGATCCTGTATTTTTAAATATCTAATAATATGTTATAAATCATTTTATCACCTTAAATTATTTTTCAAAAAACTATTTACCATTTTTTGTAAAATCAAATAGGAAAAAATGGCTATTTAAAATATAGCCAAATTGGCTTTCAATTGTAGCCCAAATCAAACCCCAATCCCAGCCCAATTTCGAATTAATAATACCCAACCCTAACCTAATTAAATCCTACTCGACTCAGACCCCTTCTCATCCTAGCCATTGATCTCTGAGATCCGACCCATATTCCCTCTTACCATTTTTAACCCAAACGACCCCCTATCCTAATTCATTCTTACAAAACCGCCGCCCTAGAATCCCCTTTCCTCTCGAATTCTCTCTGAGACCTAAACCTAACCCTAGCCGCCGCCACCCAAACCAGCCCTAATCCCTTCGATCCTCACTCAATCCATGGATTCCAATGGCTATTTGAGACGTATACTTGTCTCTTACGTCTCCTGGTTGATCGTTTTTGTGATTTTGTGGAAAGATCTCGAAGAGATCTAGTCCAGATCTTGTTCAACTCCTATCCATGGTCTTTTATGCCATTTTTCGGCCATCCTTGGTTGTTCGAGTCAGATCCATGACTTTTCCGGCCAAAACCGGTGACATTTTAAAGTCCTCTCATCTTCTTTGGGTTCTTTGAAACCCTAACTCTTGAGATTTTTTACTTTTCTTTAGATCTGTCTTAGATCTAGGTGTATCCATGAGTTTTTAACCGATTTTTTTCTTCGTCTCTACTATTTCTGAAAAACCTAGTTATAAATCCTCCGATCTTTTTAGATTTGTGATGGATCTATGGGGTTTTAAAGGTTTTTACCTGTCTTCCTCAAAATATTTTTCCGATTTCAAACGATTTCTTCATTTTCCAGATTAGGGTTTTAAAACCCTTTTTGCAAAAATGATTTCTTTCTGATTTTAGCAATTACTTTGATTTTTAGCATGTTTAAACATCACCTGAGTCTTTCCTTTTTTCTCGATTCATTTTTGTCAAGAAACCCTAATACTTCTGGGTTCGATTCGAAGTTTGAGTCTATTTGCGATGTGTTTGCATGACTATCATGAACATTCTAGGCTTCATGTGTGTTCTATATGCTCTTGTGCTTCCTGCTCTAATTTGTTCTTAAGGTTTCCTTGATTTTGTCCAAACATGTATTATTTATCGTTTAATAAGTCCGACTATTTGTTTTATTCATTGTTCACATAATTTATGTTGATTTGGTGTAATCTCCTTAAACCTACATATGTGATCTTGTGTATTTTCCTTGTAATTTTGTACTGATTTTTCAAAATTGCTTCCTTATTTTTGTGACACTTTCCTAAGTTAGTGCTGATTCCCTGTGATTTTCCATCTCATCCGTGATTCTTTGAACTGACTTTCAAAATTGAAATTGTACTCTACCTTATTTAGATGCCCATTATGTTGTTAATATACTTTTCTTACTTGAAAATATTCCGTACTTAGCCCTTATTACGTGCTGCATGCTTTTTCTACTCCTATTATGGTAAAATCAGTTCTTTTCCCTACTTGATACAACTTGTATCCGTTTGAACTATGACTCCCTAATTGAAGGGAGCCCGAGTCTTTAATTGATTCTGATTTGTATTATTTCTATAATTATGCTAAATTAGTACTTACTACCTTATTTTCATGCCTGTTCTAAAACTATAAATACTCTACCCTCTCTTTAGCATAAGACACGAACAATTAGTTCAGAACACACACATACACACTCAACCTCTCTCTTCTTTCTCTACTACTTGTCTAGCCGGCTGAAAGCCAAGGCTAAACTGCGGAACTCTACTTGCTTTACTTTTCTGCATTTTGCTTCCTTAACTGGTATGTTCCTAGTTCAATTCTAAAACTCAACTCTATGTGCTCCATTGTTTGCCAATCCCTGTCTCTTTCTGCACTGACCTAATGGGTCATGTTGTTTAACTACACTTCTTCTTTACTGCTTTATTTAGCATGCTTAAGTTCTGCCCTCTCTTGTTCAAATGTAATCAGCATGTCTACTTAAGTTCCTGTTTATGTCCCTCAACTAGTATGCCTCATAATGTACTAGATTAACACCAAGTCATGACTAATTATGTGTAATAGACCCCTGCATGACTACTCCCATACCCTGTCCCTATGTCTTGTTACTATTCTAATTTCAAGCATGATTCCCTGTTAATTCTTTGAAGTATTAGTTCGTAGGCCAATCAATTGCTACTTGTTTTTGTGCTTGCTGGTCTAAATGCTTCTCTTCTCATCCCTGTTTTATGCGTTTCTGATTTGGGTCCTCTATGTCCCCAACCCCTTACTCCCCTGCTTGTGACTGTTGAAATTGTACTATCCTTCGAACTTGCTCTGTGTGTGCTGTCTTGTTCCAAGTTATTGTTGCTCTTATTCCCTTCTCCTTTTTTCAAAATTGTTCTGTGGTTTTGCAAACTTATTTCAAAAATGCTGTTTCAAAACTATTTTCCAACTCAACTCTATTAAATCTTTGTCAAGCACTCTCACATATATTCTTAGACCACTAGGTTCTGCCCCTTTTGTGTGAGTCTTGCCTTGGGACCCTTGAGCTCCCTCTGAACTTGGACACATAAAAGCTGGCCTTTCCACACTGCACTTACTCTGTCTTGGTTATGCAATCTGGGTGTAAGCACTGCCTGTGATCCTTTGAGGTCCTTAGGGAGCTCTGACACACCTAGATATGAGGAAAAGCTATGAAACAACATTGGCACTTGAGGTGATTGATTACATAACTCAGAGAGGAAGTCCTAATCAGGCTTCCTATATTGTAACTTCTTATTTTCATTGCTACTTATGTAATTCATTTCAAGGTTGGTCTGTAATAACTTGTTGTAAACAAGTATTACGGTTGGCAAGTGAAAAGGTATGTGGTAAATATGCATGCTATAATTGTTAAAGTGTAGAAAACATGTTGTTAGGTTTATATTCCTAATTGCGCAATAGAAATCAAGCATAGGGTTCATACATGCATTAAAAATCATGCTCTTAGGACCCATGTTTCTTGCTTCAGCATCTCATCCATCACTAATCCATGTTTTATGTCTATCACTAAGAAATCCTGCTCCTAGGACAATAACAACATTAACATAGTTACTCTTGTACTTTCAGAAGTCATATTTCAATAATTCTACAACTCTTGTGGGCATTTAGAAATCCTGCCTTAGGGGGTTTTGTTTTTTTGGCAATCCTATCATTTGCATGTGCATATTAGATATCATGTCCTAGGATCCTGTTTACATTTTTGTTTAAGACTCCTAGGTAATTACTGATTCATGAAAATGTAATAAAAATAATCTCACATCGTGATGTTTTCTGAATAAAATTGGTAATAATCTCTGCATTCGTATCAATTAGAACAACATGCTCTTAGGTAAAAACCATCTCCAAACTATTTTAATAATTCTGAATAACTGTTGCATATTGCTTTATGCCTAGGGAAGCCTTAGGTAATAGCTTAGATAAAAATAGAACTGTCCTTGTTTAATTGCCAGCATGATAAAATTAGTAGGCAAGCCTGATTCAGACTTCTTTTCTGAGTCATGCAATAAATCTGGTTCTGCTGTTATCACTTAGATACCATGCTTTAGGATTCTGAATTCAGACCTTATCTGTGTATGAGTCATGCTGTTCATATGCACTGTATGTGGTGGTATATTTGAGCCTTTCGTTTGTCTTCCATGCTCCTTTTAAATGCAGTCCTATATGTTCTTGTTTGTCGCCTAGCATTTTTCCTTTAAACCTAAGGGTCTGCCTAGAACCTCCCTCATAAGATAGAAGTCCTAAATTCCTCCGGGACTAATAGGAAGGGACGGGTAACAGAATGCAATAGGGGTCAAGACCAACCCTCGCTTTAATTACCTTCGCGGGGCTGGAAAGGGTAGATATGGACATGATGAGCGGTGCGTTAATGTAGCCCCTCTTTGAAGAGTGTCATATCGGGTATTGCATTAATGCGATCCATATTACAAACAAATCTAGGACACCCCTTTACATTCATAAGCATGCTTTAGATTGTAATTCTTTTCAAAAACCTTTCACTAATTGTTTTCAAACGCTTGTGTGTTTAAATTTAAATCCCCTACTATTTGAGCCATACTTGTTTATTTGCTAATTGCACAAATGTACAAAAACTGTCTGGCCGAGAACCACACTAGTGGATCCTGAGAGGTGCCTAACACCTTCCCTGTAGGATAATTTCAAGCCCTTACCCTATCTCTGGTTACCAAACGTAGTTATGAATGAACCCTATAGGTGTCCTAATGCACCTTAAAATCATTAAGTGGCGACTCTTCAAAATTGCAAAACCCCTTTCCCAAAAGGAATGAGTTATCCCAACCAAAATGTCATGAACCCGATTCCACGAAAGGAAAAAGAGGGCACGACATGCTCCATGTAATA